GGCAGAGGAGGGGGAAGGATGTGAGGGAAAGGAAAGGGGGAAAGAGCGGGAGAGGGAGGATGGCAAAGGAGGGGGCAGGCCCAGGAGGATGGGGGCAAAGAGGTGGAGGACAAGAGGAGCGGGAAGAGGATAAGAAGGGGAAACAGGACGGGCGGGGTAGGGAGAGGAGGAGACGAAGAAGGGGCAAAAGGAAGAGGAAGAGATCAAGCAGCATAGACAGGATGAGGGTGAAGCTGAGTCTTAGGAGTTGTAGGATCCGGGAGATGACACAGAATAAGACTAGGAAGGAAGATGAGGAAAAAGACCATTACTGCTGATGCTGGTGGCAATTGTTCTGTTGATGGTGGTTGTAGTGGTAAGATCGAAAGAAGGGTGACGGATGAGTTGGTGACTATGGGCTGTTAGCAGTAGTGGATTGAGGAGTAGAAGAGGAACAAAAAAGGGGATATTACTGATGGATCTGTGCATGTGATCTGGGCTTGCAAACTGTTGACAACCCTGAAGAAGAAGAAGAGAAGAAGAAGAAGAGAAGAAGAAGAGAAGAAGTCTTAGAAGAAGAAGAAGAAGAAGAAGAAGAAGAAGAAGAAGAAGAAGAACCAGGAGCAGAAGCAGCAGCAGCAGCAGCTAAGAAGAAGAAGAATAAGTAGTTGTTGCAACAAGAAGAAGACGAAGGAGAAGAATAGGTGGTTCTTGTACATGACATCTGCGAGCTCAACAAAGAGACAATTGTGATGAAGTACACAAATGAAACGATGAGAAGAAGAGATACTGTTGGGTGTGGTGGCAGAGAAGACGAAGGTGACAATGAACATATGGGAGAAGACAGTGTGGAACACAGATGCGTGCTCATACGCACAGACAAACTGAGCGCATGTGGGGAGACGGCCATGCCGTTTCTTACTGAGCCTGTGGGCTTATTGGGGTTTGTGGCTGTGGTAGGTTAGTTTCTGTAAGATTATTCCTGACGTTCTTGGTTTTCTAACTGTACTGTTTTGTTGGCCTTCTGAACTATACTTTCTCATATCATCGGCATGGCTATCAGTAGATATATGGGTGTCGTGATTGTTTCTAAGCGCATCAATGTGCATCTTTTGTGCAGTTTGTCTTTTTCAAAGACTTTTTGCAAGCTTCGTAATGTTAATATGCGCATATGAATATGAATGTGCACATGCACACACAGGCATACACACATGCTTGCACACTCGACCAGATGTGAAACTCTCACACATGTGGATGGAGAGGGACATGGACTCAGACAATACACAGATGGACACATTGCTATAGACTAGATCAACCACGTGTTGCGAGATGCGAACACACACTGACATGGCATTCTGGTGGTGTTAATGCTAGTAATACCGTCTACTCTTAGCTGTGTTGGGATGCAGGATGCAGGAACTCGCTGAAAATCAGCTGGTGTGCTTGCACATAGTTGCTGGTGATATTGAGAGTAGAGCGTTATGAACTGTTCACCTCCTTTCTCCCCCCTGTCTTAGCTGTGTTGGGATGCAGGATGCAGGAAGGTGTGCTTGCACATAGTTGCTGGTGATATTGAGACTAGAGCATTATGAACTGTTCACCTCCCTTCTCCCTCCTGTCTTAAGCATTTGCATTCTTTAGGATCTATTGACTGTAGCCACCATCATGCCGTCATTTTGATTTCTGTTTTCGTGCTTCTGGCATTAATTCAGGTACATGCCTAGTGCAGCAGTACTCAAACGACTGCCCAGCAAGTGGCCAAAGCCAGTGTGGCATCCTCCTTGGAAGAATTACCGGGTATGTTTCCTCCCTCCTTCTTTGTTGTGTGTGTGTGTGTGTGTGTGTGTGTGTGTGTGTGTGTGTGTGTGTGTGTGTGTGTGTGTGTGTGTGTTTTGTAAACACAACTCCACAGAAAAAAGGTGTGTGTGTGTGTATGTGTAAGAGAGAGAGAGAGAGAGAGAGAGAGAGAGAGAGAGAGAGAGAGAGAGAGAGAGAGAGAGAGAGAGAGAGAGAGAGAGATTGGGTGTCTGGACGTAGGTTGTCCAGACAGTGGCCATGCAGACCTACCAGATACATTTGGGTTGTAGCCAGCCAATTTGCATCTTATATCTTTTCAGCTAGTGAGATGTGTCTGTGTTTACACCATTTGCTGTTTTTTTACTCAATGGTTTGATTTAGAACATGATGGGTGGTAAAAAAAAAAAAAAAGAACATGATGGGTGGTGGCTGAAGGGAGTTGCGGGCTGAGAGGAAGGACTGTGAGCTCTGCATCCGTCTGACTGAGCAGCTGTGTTCCCTATTGATTCCTGCTGTTTTTTTTTTTTGCTTTCACCTGACAGTCCATTCAGGTATCCATGATCTTTTGGCCTGACTTTTTTGAGAAATGTAACCTCATTTTGTCATGACTCCAAAAAAAAATAAAAAATGTAAGGGGAAAAAAAGAGTGAACTGTTGTTATGCTATGTGTTCGTCATCACTGTGCATGTGGTGTGAATACAGAATGTTTTTGCGAATTAAATTCAACTTTTATTTTTTTGTTGTTGGATTCTGCTATTCATTCTTTGTTGTCCTGAACGTATCAGATCCGTGTGTAAGTTTTGTGCTGTGAAGCTGCTTCCCTTAGCAGAAGTTTGGACCTGAGTACTCCGAACCTTACAACTTTTCGTACCTGGATGCATTGACATCATCAATTTGTTAGGCTCTTGTGCGTCAACTTACGTGTTTTTTTTTGTTTTTTTTTCTCCCCCCTTCCTGCAGGTTATCAGCGGCCATTTGGGATGGGTCAGGTCCATTGCATTTGATCCCGGAAATGAGTGGTTCGTGACGGGCTCTGCGGACCGAACAATTAAGGTATATAACCGTATAAGGAGTTTTCCGTAAGATGTTCCTTCTGCCCGAGTACACCAGACCATTGGTTTACGCACCTGAGTAGCCAGGGCAGTGCCTTGCAGACTTGCACAGTGGTCGTACGAGTGATAATGTAGTGATGCTGGCATTGAAAGAGGAGTCGTTATATCGTTTTTCTCTCCGCATTGCATTTATTATGATTTTTTCTTAAACCACCACTCCCTCCGTCAGCCAGAAATAGCCCTCCCTGTGAGTTCGGGCGGGTTTTGCGGGAGGGTGGCGACCGGAGGCCGAAACGGCGGGCCTAGTTCCAAAAATCGAAAGCGGCAACTTTGGCGATTTTTTGCGGCCAGAAGAATTCACAGAAAATGCTGAAAATTTGAGCGTTGTAGATTAGGTCGTGATCTTTCCAGGAAAAATATAAGGAAAGTAAAATAAAATGATTTTAACCGTGAAACAATCGCCGCGCGGATTGGTTGCATGTTCCAGTTTTGCCACAGTGCCGTTTGTAGGCCAACGGGAAAAGTTCCCACTCCAAAGAATGCGTCAAAGACTCTGAAAATTGGAGAGTCCCTAGATTTGCTTGTGATCTTTCCAGGATGTATAAAAGAAGCTTAAAAGTTAAAACCACAAAATAAATCGCTGAGGCATTTCAATACATGTTCAATTTTTGTGTTTCTTTCGGTTCTCCACACTGTACTACGGGTAGCCCTAATGAGCCTGTGCTACGGGTCCCCCCAATTTCTTGATGTCGGAGGGGGTGGTGGTTTAATGTGGAGAATTTTGGACCATTTCTTGATTTATGAGTGTCATCCTTGCGCAGGGGCCATGCTAATCTTCTCTGTGCAAGGAAAAATGAGCAATAGCGAAATGACAGAATGCCAGATTGCAAAATCACATTGAAAGTCAGATAGTCGAAAGCTGTACAGAAAGCAGAAATGCACTGATGTCACACGGAAGGAGAACCAATTCAGCGAACTGAATTGTCAATGAAAGCATCATCTTGCCACCACCAACAATGTAGTCGTAGCTCTTTCTCCTAATGACGCTCGCCGCCCAGACTACGATCCTACAGCTACCACGCTAGCCTATCATAATGATAAAACAACCAGTTGACGTCAGGAGCAGCAACCGAAGTACATGTAGATGTCGACCATGCAGACCTCCGCCGGGACCAGGTACGTACTCTCGAATATCCTCCTTCACTCTCCTGCTCTATGCTCACCCTCGTCTTCTCCACCCACGTCCCATCACCATCCAAGGACTTCCGCCAATTCAGCTCCAGGCCCGGTTATGGCTGCCTGGGCTATGGCGCTGCTTATCACCAGCGCCCTCTTCCCAACCTGCGCCTGCGTGCACCCAGCTCTCGCTCGACCAGCGGCCTTCAGCACTCGAAGTGGCAGCGCTGCCGCATGAAGAGCAAGTGCCTGAATGAATCCCTCGTAGCCTGGCTCTTTCCTAAATTGAAAGCCGCCAGGCACGATGGCTGCCTGGATTGGGATGCACACGTGCCCGGTAGCCTCACTTTGGGCCAAAGTGTCTGCGCCCAGGCCTGTTCAGACAGTGGACTGGGCCTGCAGCAGTTAGGCGCGCCCAACCACCTCACACAGAGTGACGTGTTCCCTGCTTTCTGATTGGCTGAGAGGCCAGGTTCCAAGTCTTGAGTAGAAGAGCCTAGAAGATTCTGATGCTCGCGAAGAGGCCACATGTAACCAACTGGCACGGGGCAACTGTCTGGTGTCCACTAAGGCTGACAAAGTTTCCGATATTCAGGCCCTTTTGAGATACAGGGCCTGCCTTCACTTAGGGCGGGCACATAGCTTACAGCAGGGACCCCCATACGGGCATGCCAATGGCTCAGATCCTCGCATTGCATTGAAATACCAGCTTGCTGGTAAATGTTTGCAGAATAGTTCATTACGAATGTGGTTTGCATGCAGCTGGTGAAGATGTTGAAAGCTTCATTCATTTGCACATTTGTTGAGTCTACGGAGAAAGGTTGGTGAAAAAATTAAGGCTTCAATTTCGGGACAACTTTTGTGCTGCTAAGCGGGGGCGGCACTCACGAAGGAGTGCGTTTGGGCTCAACTAGACACAGAGAACTCTTTCTCCTTTAATTGAGAAATTCTCAGTTGTTCATGATGCGCGTTGAGTTGAGACGTCAATGTCTACGAAGACATACGGCTGCAAGCGGGAGTTTGTTTGCTGTTTCTGTCTTTGTAGAAATTGAACCAGGTTACTAGGGGACTATATCTGCGTACTCACTGTCCATTCCACACACCAAACTCTGCGTGATGTATTCTAAATTCTAATGCTGTGAGGCTGGTTCAATACAGGGCCTCACTCTGCTACTCACCACATGCACAAAAGACGAAAAACATGGCGGCGTATCTTTCCATGTTCTGGCGGAAGATTTGTTCGCAATTTCCACATTTGGCGAGTAGTGGAGCGAGGCCCAAAAGTGAAATGGAAGCCATAAGTGAAAATATTTGATTGACGTAAATGATGTTTTCACTCCATCTCTCTGCAATGAACAGCGATTGAGCCGTTGACCCCTGTCGTTGCGCTCTTTACATATTCTGTGCGTACGTGGCTTGCTCCCCATTATTTTTCTCTCCTCTTTTTCATGCTTCCTTCCCATTCTAACTGTAATCGTACACTGCAGGTTTATGATTGGTAGCAAACTTGTACTGGAGACTATCTATGACGAAGTTTTTTTTTTTTCTTTGTCTACGTCTTATTTGGAGTCGGCTAGGAGTATCATTGTCGGACTTTCACAACCATCCATCTGACTCAGCAGGGAGTTCCATGTGGGTGGTTCATCCTGGTTTCTATGTGTCGGGCTTGGTTGTGTGTGTTGTGGCTTTTTTTCCAGATCTGGGACCTTGCCACTGCGCAGTTGAAGTTAACGCTTACGGGACACATTGAGCAGATCAGAGGTGAGTGGTGGATGTGTATGGTACTCGTGCATGCATGCAATGCAAGCAGAGTGAAGCGATATTGAACGGGGACGAAACTTTCTACAGTCCACTTTGTGTGACGATGAAGCTGGGTGAAACCGTAAAGCACATGACTTCTCTTGTCCTGCGTGCAAGTCTCTGGCACATTGTTTCTCTTGTCCTGTACATAATCACACCACTACTAAGGTGTTAGAGGTTCACTGGTGCTTTCTAGACCAGACACACATTCATACATACATTCACACATACATTCATACATACATTCACACATACATTCATACATACATTCATACATACATTCACACATACATTCATACATTCATACATTCATACATACATTCATACATACATGCATATGCAGTTTTGCTTCCGTTCCTTCCTTTCCTTCTCTTCCCTTCTTTTCTACATTTTCTTCCCTTTGCTCTCTTTCGTTCCTCTTCCCGTTCTTGCCTCCTTTGCATCTACTTTCACTTTGGTTCGGCCCAGAATGGCACAGTGGTCCTTCTGTTTGGCACCGAACGGCGCTGTGGTCCCTGTTGTGGCCCAGAACAGCACCATGGTCCTTGTTTTAGCCTAGAATGGCACCGTGGTCCAGTTTTGGCCTAGAATGGCACTTTGGTCCAGTTTTGGCCTAGAAAGGCACTTTGGTCCAGTTTTGGCAGAGGATGGCACTGTGGTCCTTGAATTGACCCAGAAGGACACTGTTTGTCCCTGTTTTGGCCCGGAATGGCATGGTACCATCCTGGTTCGTCATCGAAAGGATGTATATATTTTTTAATGGCTGTCTAGGTTATAGTTTATCATCCTGCTGAGCGATGGTCCCTATACGTTCTTCACGACTGTATTTTGTGCTGCCTTAAAGTGTAGCATTCTGCAGTATGCATGAACTTGGATAAGTCCAGATTGTCTGCCGAGGGAAGTGTGTCCACTGACCCTCGGCCTTTGTTCGTGGTGTAGCATTCTGCAGTATGCATGAACTTGGATAAGTCCAGATTGTCTGCCGAGGGAAGTGTGTCCACTGACCCTCGGCCTTTGTTCGTGGCCCCGTGGTATTTTTGCTCTGCAGGGCTTGCAGTGAGCTCCCGACATCCCTACCTGTTTTCGGCTGGTGATGATAAGCAGGTGAAATGCTGGGACTTGGAGTACAATAAGGTGTGTATCCACCCATCTATCATCTCATTGAAGTTGATTTGACCCATTTATTGATTATCATAATAATATTATTCCATTTGATTGAACTGCTGTTTATAAATCATCAATGCGTTAAAATAGAGATGGGCCCAATTTTCGGTTTGACAGGTTTTTAATTTAAAATTTAGTTGGACCATTCCCGATCTTTGTGAGTGATCCTTGTGCATCCGACATGCTAATCTTACTCTGTATCTGCGTAGAACTGCGAACGTGTTCGCACCCCTCCGCGTGTGCGCGAATGGCTCGCGAACGTGTTTACGCCCCTCCGCGGTTGCGCGAATGGCTCGCGAATGTGTTCGGTTGAACATAAATTTTTCCCGTAAAAAAAAAAAAACGGTTTTCGATTTTTCATTCACGTTTGGCTAAGAATTTGAACAGGAATCCCAAGGCAAACGTTGTGTGTATTGTTGTTTTACATGACATATATTTTTTTCAGATTTTCCTGAGATTTTGTTTTATCACTACCAACATGACAAAGTTTTTCGGCCGTGGGCTGTGTCGGTTCACCTGTGATGAACTTCGGCCGTGCGATCAACGATTTTGAGACGTCGGATACGAATCTGACGCGTTTGACGCGCCGTGATACAATCTAGACCGATGATGCATGGATCATGAGGCGTCCGATACAAAATCTGTCGCGTCTGTTGCGTCTGACGCGCCTCAGCCGGGCGCCGTTTCGTTTCTTTTTCTTTTCTTTTTTCTTTTTTTTTGTTTTTCCTACTTTTTTTGCGTTTCGGGCGGGAGTTTCACTGGTTTCCTTTTGCTTTCGCGCCAGCCCTCCGCTCTCCGCACCCACGCTCTGCGCTTTCGCCTTCGGATTTCGCCCTCCGCACCCGCCCTCCGCACCCGCCCTCCGCGGTTTCGCCCTTCGCCTTCGCCCTCCGCGCCCACCCTCCGCGCAACGAAAGCGCTTTCGCACCCGCCTCCCCGTGCGCACGCACACACACGCAGCCGCCCGCCTGCCCGCGCGCGACCTATTTGCCACTACGTCTCTCTCTCTCTCTCTCTCTCTCTCTCTCTCTCTCTCTCTCTGTCGGTGGTCCGGCTCCCATGCATTTCTTTTTTTTTGTTTTTTTTTGTTTTTTTCATTTTTTCCAGAAAAAAAAAAAACAAAAAAAACAAAAAAAACACGTATGAGTGAACAGACAGCCCGGCATATAGTTTTTTCATGGGAGCCTCTCTCTCTCTCTCTCTCTCTGCCGCCCTGGCATATAGTTTTTTTCTTTTTTTTAAAGGCTAATTCTAACCAATTCAATTACCCGTCGAATCTGGACAGGACAGCCTTTCAGGCCTTTTTTATTGTCACCCGTAGCAGCCACATCCGTGCTCAAGCCTCCAACGAGGGAACATGCGGGAGCTGCACCCACTAGCAGGTTTGTCATTATAGTATTACGGGGAACCCCGTAGCAGCCACATTCGTGCTCAAGCCTCCAATGAGGGAACATGCCGGAGCTGCACCCACTAGCAGGTGCGATACCTGCTACAGCAGGTGGGGGATACTGGCCAGGGGTCAGGCGGTAGCATCAGGACCGACCTTCTTCGATGGGCCAGTCACTGTGCCTCCCCTCCGGTCCCCTCCCCCTATGAACATCAGCAGTCTCTGATCAATGCCACTCGGGGGGACCAAGGGCATATCTCTAGGTGGCGGGCGCCAAGCTTGCCCAGGAAGGTACATGAGGCCAATGGAGATTTTGAACCCAAGACCTCCTGAATGCCACTTGCATGCCTTACCAACTGAGCTAGGCCGCTGGATCTCCCCAGCATATAGTGATTACGTATACGCATTGTGAAATGCATGGGAGCCTGACATTGTCAGGGAATCGCAGATTTCGGGAATCACCGGAAGTCGAGGGAGGTGGATATGCAGTCTGCGCGACACAGCGAACATTCAGCGACAACACTGAAGAATACGTAGCCTGAATAAATAAATAAATAAATAAACGATAAACGATAAATAAAGGACGGGATCGGCAGAGTGGTCGACTTGCGATATGCGTAGGCATGTGATGTGCTTCCGGAATTCTACGTAACGGAATGGGAATGGTACCATAAACGATTCACGGAACTGCTTTGTAACGGTGYTGGGAATGCTACGTTACGRGAGAGGAACATAGTCATTACTTATACTCGTTACGTATACGTATCGTGAAATGCATGGGAGCCTGCCACTGTCAGGTATCGTGGATTTCGGGAATGACCGCAAATTCAGGGAGGTGGGCATGCAGTCTGCGCGATAGGACAAATAAATGAATAAATAACCAAATAAATAAATAAATAAGCAATAAGCAATAAGCAATAAACAATAAGCAATTGCATGAGACAATCCCACGAGTAGCATGACCATGACCGACGCGTCGGGAAGGAGATCATTTGGGCATCGGGGGCCAGGGCACTATTATTTTTCGTTGACATTGGGAAGGTATCATGATCTCTGTATTCTTTGCATCCAGCGTTTATTAGCGGATAGAGGAATGGGGTGCCGCCGTGGGTATCGCTGCGGCGATAGTCGAAGAGGGGAGCATCTGCGCTATTCGTGTCGAGGGGGAAATGGGGGAAGTGTGATCACATTCTGGGGTCTGAGATGCGCGAGGAAAATGAGGGCATTGTGGGGTCGGAAATGGGGGAAGCGTGATCGCATTGTGGGGAAATGGGCGAAACGGGATGGGGATGGTACAAGAACGATTCACGAAACTGGCCTTGAGGACAGTCGTGTGGTGATGGGAATGCTACGTAACGGGAGAGAAGCATAGTCATTACTTATACTCATTACGTATACGTATTGTGAAATCTATCCGACCGTGACACTGTCAGGGAATCGTGCATTTTGGGAATCAGCGCAAATTCAGGGAGGTGGGCATGCAGTCTGCGCGACGGGACGAATAAATGAATAAATAAGCAATATGCAATTCCATGAGACAATCCCACGAGTAGCATGACCRTGACCGATYTCCCTCATTGACGTGGGGAAGGTATCYGGATCTCGTATTTTTTGCATCCAGCGTTTATTAGGGGATAGGGGAATGRGGTGCCGCCGTTGGTATAGYTGCGGCGATAGTYGAAGAGGGGAGCATCTGCGCGACTCGTGTCCAGGGGGAAATAGTGGAATRAAGCTACTAGTGCCTGGCAGACTAATATTGGCTAAAGTAAAAAAACAGGAAAATAGTAGAGAAGATAGGCATTGTACTGACTAAACCTCCATAATATTTAACAAGTCGGGTTTTATGCCGGCACACGGACAAAAAAGTTTAAGGCATTCCCGAATTTTCTTGGTAGAGGCAACTTCGTTGCACTTAGGATCGCCTGTATTAAGGGTCTTTGTTTTACATKATCAGTAGAAGTGGATTCGAACCACTGACACAAGGATTTTCAGTCCTTTGCTCTAACCAACTGAGCTACCTAAACAAAAACAAAATCAAACTMGGCCGTTGAAAGTAGCTTCTGTTTATTAGCGGATTTCCCCATTAGCGGATTGTCTTGACTCATTTACTTATCATTGGTGAATTTGAATGCACGAAATGTGACACCTCTGCTCGTTCCCATTTCTCATRTATACGTTAATGTGAATGCACTATGARCGCWCTGMAAGAACTCRATCCATTCTTCGATGACTATGGTAATYCTACTGCATAATTCTTAGACTTTATTGCCACGGAAATGTGCTCTCCATTGCCATGTGGACCTACCACTTCTCGTCACCCATGATGTTCATGCCACGCTGTGGAACCTTTCGCTTATATCTTACCTGCTTCACCTTTCTCCATTAACTATTCATTGTCCTGTCTTCAAATGTCAATGCAATCGACAACAATATTCAGTACAACTAAAACACGCGGGCGAAGCCGCGCTGGCCACATCTTGTAATAATAATATTTTTTATGTTCGCGTTCGGAGGGTTTTGGGCTCTTGTTCGCACTCGGGCGAACATGTTCATGTTCGCTTCCGAACGCGAACACGATGCTACGCAGCTCTGTATTTTTACTATTTTCCAATTTATGCGAGGAATGAGCCCTCGTGGGGCCCTGATCAAACATGCGCATGTTCTGGGCAGAGGCCCTCAGCAAGCCCAGTGCCCGCGCTAAGTGAAGGCGGGCCTGAATATTCACTAGAGGCTAAAATTTGACATTTTCCATATGTGGGTACTCAGGTTGTTGCAGCACGCCAGTTGGTTGAACAGGAGCGTGAGCCTCCTTAAGCTGCGTCGTACAGTTTGGCCCAGGCCTTGGTAGTTGTGCCTGGGAACATACACACAACGCAGGGCCCATACATCACGAAGTGGCTACGGGCGTACGCAAAAAGCAGCATTGTCGACGTACATACCCCGGGTCCTGTGCAAATGCAGTAAACGGCCCAAGTCTAGAAACTCAGGCCATGCCCAACTGTAAACGGCCGAGGCCGTCAACTGCAGCACTGGGCTTGGGCGCGAGCACTGGGGCCCGACAGGAAGCTACTGGAAGCTTCCAGCCAGGCCACACAGCCAAACAGAGGCTGCCACTTCCATATAGGGAGGGATGCAGCCAGGGTCTGGCATTCTGGCCCACGCAGGCAATGCGGTCACGCTGCTGCGCTGCTGCGTTAGAGGCTGCATGCTGTGAGGCCAGGGCGCATACGGGTGCTAGAGGTGAGAGGGGCACTGCTGGGCAGCGGAGCGCGAGCAGCCATAGCCGGGCTGCAGGGTGATAGGGAGTCAGAGGGCGATCGGTGGTCTTCAGGAAGGAGGCGAGTGTGGGTGGTCAGGGTCTGATGAGGGGAGACGAGATACGTACCTGGTGCATGAGGGAGGTCGGCTATGGTGTTGACGTCATGTACATTGGTCTTCAGAGTCGAAGTGAGCCTGTTGCATGAATACTGATGTAGGTAGGATATGCAAGTAGTGTAGGCTGGGCACTGGGTGCCAGACAGAGAGGAGCGACATTGGAGACTGTGTTGGTGTGGCCTGAGGGCTTGAACATTGGCTCATGACTTCATTGTATTGCTCTTATTTGGGTGGATTCTCGGTGCATTTGTGCTCTCTGCTTGTACACAACTACTTGGACATCTGTGTGATTTCGCAACTTGGCTTTCTGTATATCGTTCTCACCAGGGTTGCATCGGCGCCGACCACCGACCCGGACCGCCGACCGTTTTGTCCCGACCGATCAGGGCCGACTGGTCGGCGGTCCGCCGACCAGTCAGAAAACAGGCTTCCGCTGTTTTTTTTTGTTTTTCTGATTGCGCAGCCTTACTGCGCTTGCTGAGTACAGCCCAAATCCGCAGAGAAACTTTAACTTGGGGGGGGGGGGGG